TGCTCACGCTTGCCAACATCTACGACTACATCAAGTCCCGGTATGCCTTCTTCCGCCACACAAACAGCGGCTGGCAGAACAGCATTCGACACAATCTGTCCCTCAACAAGTCGTTTGAGAAAGTTGCACGCCGCACCGACGAGCCTGGCAAGGGTATGAAGTGGAAGATTGCAGAGTCAGAGAAGGAAGAGTTCATCAAGAAGCAACTGCTTAACCCCCGCAAGGGCGGCGTGGCAATCGGATACCGCATAGACGGCTCAGGGCCTAGTTCGCCCGCGCTGGGCAATCCATCTCAAGCCACCGAGCGCCTTGTAGGTGCCTTGGAGCGCGACAACCGCCAAAGCCAATACCCTCCTCGCGTCAAGTCGCCTCCACGATCTGCTACGCCCCCGCTTTCGTCGGTCCCGATGGCCACCGAATCCTACACTCCAGACCGCGGCCCACGCCCATTTGGAGGTTTCAAGCAATCGCCGACTATACGCGACCAGGATCGGTTCGTCACTCCGGCGAAGCGCCTTGTTTATGGAGCCAATGACGGCCAGGAACCTACTCACATCAAGCAGGACGAATCTCGACTGGAATCATCACCCGGTGTGGACCCCGTTAAGCAGAGTGTCCCTGGTATGAAGACAGACGTCGGTAACTCACCACCGACCCTGTACTCGGACACCGGGTCGAACAACATGAATGGCAACTACGATGCGAACCGAATGAACAATGCCCTCGTCACCCCACTTGTTTCCCGCCACGCACCCCGTCTCGCACCCCCAAGCACAGCTCAAATGCCCAGCCAGTACATGGCATTCTCCAGTCCAGCACCTTTCTGGAAGTTCGTCGACCTCCCTAGCACACCTGCCAAAGCACCACTCGAGCTCAGCCCTATCAAACTACAACGTCCAGATTTCAAAGATGGCGATGACGACGACCACCCCAGTTCACCCCCCATGCTGCCGTACAACAGCGCAGAGCCTGAAGACAATGAAGATCAAGATCAAGATGCCGAGGAGAAAGGCGAGGAAGAGGAAGATGCCGGCCCAGAGAGTCCAAGTCGTACCGTCTCCAGACCCGCCAGTCGGCATATCGGAAGCCAACGTTCTCGATCAAATAGCAACGTCAACGGGCTTGGATTGGGTATCGTGGGCAATGGAGGGATGGTCCGCGGCGCCAGCCTGACGAGCTTCGAGGAGGAGCCTGAGCCCGAGGAGGAAAGCTATGATCTGTCAAAGTATGCTGCGAATGCGTCCTTGTCTTCGGTGATAGTTCAATGCTAACATGTCGTCAGGGGCTTCCAGAAAATCGGCTCCTTCCACCGCAGCATGGCTCAAGCCCACGGTCTCGGCAGCATCGGCAGTCGTGCTACCGCTACGCCACCACCGCATCCTCCCCATCTCGCGCGCACCAGTGTCCCTGCAAACATGTAGACTGAGTTGCAGGACGATATAGACCAACAGACGTTAGCGATATATCTTCTCCTTTCACGCTTCGGTACAGATCCTATACTACCATCTGACGACGGTGTGGGTAGTCTAAACTCTTCTCAATGAGTGAAAGTTGGATTATGACGGTTACGACACTTTCTTGTTGTGTGTTTGATTAGGTTGCATCTCGATTTCTCGGTTTCTCGGTTTATCGGTCCGCAAAACTCTGCGTGTGCATGGAGTTGAGTGTGTTGTTCGTCATACGGTTCGTTGTCTTCATTCTATTGCTGTATCACTTTATCGATCGATGGAATTACTCCGCTTATGGCGTTCTGTGTGGCATTATGGCATTATGGGCGAAAAAGGGTGCGTTATGATAATGATGGGGCATTCAATTTCTTTCCTGCTACTATTTGCATCGGTTACGAGGGGGAGGGGTAGGATAAGATGGCTATGCGTATGGATTATGGAGGAGTGGGAAAGCTTGGATGGTGTATGCTTGTAGTGTTAGGCAATGAATGAAAGCATATATCTTTTGAAAGTGGTTCCTGCTCGGATGTTTGACGTGTTTACAAATGTGACCATCGCAAATGGGACTGGGATGGCATGCATGGCCTGTAGTTACTCTAGCTTCGATGGCAAAGTTCATTTGGTACGGGTCAGATACCAGCTGTTCGATTGCACATATATCGCCTCACATATATATTGGGATGCCTCATCACTTTCAATTCCCTTTCATTGTTCCCTCCCTGCTGACCGTGCAGGTAACATAAGCTACCTAGGTACCGATATACACAAGTCCACCCCCCTCAGTCATCCCATTTCCCATCCCCATCCATCGTCAGACCAATACGCAATGCAATCCAGCCCAGCCTAATCTAATTGATCTCCTTATGAGGGAACCACTTGCTCGGCTTGAGGTTCTTCTCCTCAAGCGGCGCATCCAACACGCCCAATCGCCTTATTTCGCCCGCAGACGGTGCGTCGTCGCGTTTTATGTTGGCTTCCGCTTTGCGGTACGCGGCTTGGAGCGCGAGGGTACGGGCAGCCTGTTGAGATTTCCGTATTAGCACTGGTTCTGGTTGGAGGGTTGGAAGACGGGAGGGGATGGTAGGGGGGTGGGAAAGGGAGGGGATTAGGGGTACACACCTCCTTCTTGTGATGAAGGCACTCGTAGTAGTCCTCAAGAACTGGCGCGCATTTTGCCTTGCCAGAGTCGTCCTCGGCGTTTGTGTTGGTCGTGTAGCATGCTAGGACTTCTTGCCAGAAGGGGAAGCAGCGGGATGGGCCTGGGTGTTTGCGTTAGCTGGTGTTTTGAGAGTGCCTATCTTTGAACGAATCTTCTTGCTTCGTATGTGATAGGGTCGAGCTCGGAGAGCTTTGGAGGGTTGATGCGCGAGCGAGAGGGTTGGTAGAGGCGGGACTTGGAGCGAGCGAGTGGTTGACTGGCGGTATGTGAAGGTATCGATTTTTCAAGAGTAAAGGCCCGTTTCCGAGTGGTCGAGGCCGTCCGTTGGACTTGTCGGTTGTGCTGCCGGTCGTGTCCATAAACTCATATCGTGCCCTAGGGTCAGCGCAGTCTCCGCATGACTGCGGTTGCCCTTTGCGCCGACATTGCGTCTGATTGCCGCGCCTCCCCATTCCTTCCTCTTGTTCTCAAAATTCGTATTGTCCGTGGAGGCACTCGCATCGAGTAGCCGCCGTGGTCGCTATTCGCATTCGTCCCAGGTTCGCTCTTCGTGGTGCCATTGCGCTCGCTCGGCTGCCTCCGCCAACCCCCAAAGCTCCCGAGATTATCCCCCAGGAAGCGAATTGTACGTACCACCAGCAAGTCCGTATCCTGAAGCCATTGTCGCGGTGTTTAAGTGGGGGTCTTGAGTCGCGATGTGCTGCTGCTGTGAACTCGAGCAGCTTGTGTTACGTCAGCAGCGCACGGGCCTTCTGTCGCGGAGCCGATGGCGCTGGGCCTGCGCTGTTCGCACCCAGCATCTCTACATCGTCTCAACAAGCCATGTCTGCATATTCTTTTTCTGCAACGTGGCCTGCATATCGGTCGCAGCGAGACAAGGCCTCTATCGGAAAACCAACTCATAGTATGCTTGATGATCCATGGATTTAATCTGCATCCGATATGCTGTAAGCCCGCATGCCTCACTGCGTAAACCGGTGGAGGAAACTCCGCCACAGCCACATAACTTGGCTGCATGCATCATGTCCACTTCTTCAGCTCAGCTCGCCAGGCTGCGACTTTGCATCAACATTCTCCAAATCCAAGACCGACAGCTGCTCTTGCCGCATACCGTTCCTAGCCAAGCAGTCACAAAGGATACATTGATAAGTCTCTCAGACATCGAGTAGCGACTTGCGCTCGCAAACGTATTCGCCAATACGCAACAAGGAGCCCGCCCAGACATGTCTGATAGCGAAAACGTCTGTGTCGGCTGTAAGCATCCAATAGTGGACGAATCGATAGAAGGCGACATGACACTGAAGGAATATGATGTTCGCATCGATTCCAAGGAGATGGCAGTGGGAGTCGACTCTAAGTGTCGGAACTGCGCTGTCATTCTTGACGCTATCGTCACTTTTCTTGGGCGCGAAGACCGACCATTCATGCCAAATAAAACATCCGTTTTCCCTAATGAGAGAAAGCAAGAGCTTGTCATCAACATCGGTCGAAGATTTGAAGTCATGCGTTCCAGCGGTATGTCTGAATAATCTACAGTTACGCTCGAACTAATAGTACGTAAGATCCTCCACGAAGTTCTAAGCCTTTCACGTTTGATGCCTGGAATTTCAAAAGATTCCGACCGCTTTCTGAAGACACTTCTTCGCAAGATACTATGCGTATGATTCAGGAGTGGAAGACCATCTGTATACAAAATCATGAGCAATGTATGCAACGAGCAGAAGTCCCATTGCCCAAGAGGATTCTAGAGATCACGGCTGACCATGTACTCCTTCGCGAACAACCTGGCAGTGTAGCCCCGTATGCTTGTCTCAGCCACTGTTGGGGGTTGGATGGCCTAGCTGTTAAGTTGACTGCTGCAACTGTCGGACATCTGCGTGATGGCATCAAAACATCTGATCTACCCACGACGTTTCGAGATGCGGTTGAGGTGTGTCGTTACCTAGGAATCTACTATATCTGGATCGATGCGCTGTGTAAGAGGTTTCAGGAACATCCTATTAAAAAGGATACGCGGCTGAACAAATGCAGGTATTTTCCAAGACAGCGAAGAAGATTGGAAAGAGGCCGCTGCCACGATGGGCGATATTTACGAGAATTCGCACATTACCATTGCAGCTACGGCTAGCCGAGATAGTAACGGCGGTCTCTTTTCTTCCGATCGTCCAGTCACGAAACGTCTGGAAAAACATCCCCATCTGTACGTCCGGACGGCACTAAGGAAGTTTCCAACAAGTACCCAGAGTACTACACCGAAATCGATGCCGCTGCTAACCCGCGGCTGGGTGTATCAAGAGCGGAGACTCTCACACCGCACGATACACTTTGGCAAACATCAAGTGTACTGGGAGTGCCAAACCGGTTTTTTGTCCGAGGATTCCAGAGAAGACACAATGTGGGATACAAGCGTGGCTTACTTCACTGATTCGTACGTCAGTGACTGGGGTGATAGATGTGTGGACCCTAAGAACTACTGGCAGAAAATTGTGACGGAGTACACCGCCCTGCAATTGACCTACGAGAGTGATCTTCTGCCAGCTATTGCAGCTGTCGTTGATAGAATGTCGCGGCTGCAAAGAGTAGACGACGTTTACATTGCAGGATTATGGAAGAGTAGCATACTCTCGGATCTGCTGTGGAGCACACAGGATAACAAACCGCGCCCTTCCCGAGTGGCTCCTTCTTGGTCTTGGGTATCAGCGCAAAACTCAGTGATCTTCTGGGATGATTTTGAGTTCACTGAACAGGTCAAAATCGTCACTCTGGATTATACTATCGTTGGTCCTGCTAATCTTGGAGAGGTCACCAACGCTAGCATCATTTTGACGGTGCCTGTGCTCAACTTGACAGGCTTTGATGAGCTTGATGCCGCCGAGAAAGGAGAACGGAGATGGAGTACACGTTTTAAAGACATCACAAAGTCGGCTCCGGTTATGGAGCAGTTCCGGCAGAACAACCTGGAAATCTCCAACACTTGGTTTTATCCCGACTACGATCTGACCACCGCCAATCCTCCATTCAAATGCGGATGTATCATCAAGCTCTTGGTCGCGAGAGACTCCGATGCCGACATGGGCGGTATTGTCATTCAGCAAACGTCCAAGAACCCTCCAGAGTACAAGAGAATAGGCTTTCTTGGAGTCGGCGTCATCATGACGAAATCTGAGATGGTTGGAGAGAAAGAGGAAGATCTAGTAAGAAGTGACTATGATGGTGAAGAGAAAGCTAGAGTGAGAAAAGGAGAATATATGGGACGTCTAATAATGTCGCTGCCTATGGAAGAAGTGAAGATTGTTTGAGGTCTTATTATCTTGTTGGTTATGAGCCTGGATCGCCTGTGTTCGATGGTTTTTATCAGGAATACACGATTACCATATTCATTCGGACTGAAAGGAAGTCTGCATATCTTCGACCTAGCGCAATGACCAGCACCACAGCTTGAAGGTTGCGTGAGTGAAGCGACACAATGTAACGGAAGATGACATGAGCGAAGAAGAGATGAAACCGTGTAATGGCAACGAGCTCATTTGATGCTAGCTACCATATCCTCTCACTCCATGGATGTACTCATGCAGACAAAGATGAACGACTACTGCACATACTAGCCTCTACAGACCCAGCTACAGAAACAAAACCACCACAACGCCGCAGGTATTATCGTCAGGCCTAAATAGCCACGTTAATCCCACGAACACGACGCAGGTAACCCGCCTCCTCCGCAGTCCAATGCTTCTTCCCCGGCTGCACCCATTTCGCCTGGACACGAGCCGCCAACTCCGCCTCAGTCTTCCTCGCCGCTTCCCACTTCGCCTTATCTTTCTGCGCCTTCTCTTTCTCATTCAGCTTCCGCTGCTGCGACCACATCTGATCGGCATCATTTTTCTGTTTTGCGTTCGCCTCCCGCTTGGCCGTGCGCTCAACGTAGTCTTGATGCTTCTGCATCTTCTCCTTGGCCTCTGTCACGGCAAGTCCGAAGCGCTCGTTGCGCTCGAGGTAGGAGGCGTAGTCCTCTGGGTCGGGAATCTTGCCGTCAAGCTCGGCCTGAGCGAGCTTGGTGACGACTTTGCGGAAGAGGTTTTCGCCAATGGGGGTTTGGACGGTGGAAAAGGCGTCAATGTCTGAGTACTCTGGGAGACGCTCCGCGCGGATGAGGGCCCAGTAGCGGTTGAAAATTCGCTGGGTATACGCCATCATACCGAGGTAGTCTGCGGCGCTGCATAGCTGTATGTCTTCGTAGGTGCCCGGGGCTGCGTAGGGGCGGATCTCCTTTGCGAACTTGCTCCAGGTGGTGATATCGTTGAAGTGTTTGATCAGGTCCTGGACCATGCGCACGTCAAGTTCTGCTGGCAGCTTGATCACTGGCTCGGAGCCAGCTACCATCTCCTTCTTGATGGAGATTGCTCGAAAGAGTGCGATAGGCATCTCGGCTACTGGTGCGTTCTTGCTGTCGAGGATTTGCACCTTTGGTCCCGTCGCCAGTATCTTGCGGTCGGCATGGGAGAGCTCGTAGATTTTGGCCACATCGCCCATCTTGTTCTCGGACGCCTGCATGGCTTTCTTGGAACCAGGGGCGGTCACGAAAGCAGAAGCGAGAAGGTTGGCCTTACCATTTGGAGATGGAGCGGCGGCTTTTGTATCCTTCTTGGTAGCTTGCTCCATCTGCTTGGTCAAGGGAGTCGGCGCCATCTCTGCTTTGTCGTTTGCGAAAAGATGGGAGCAATCGGTAGGATGTGGACAACTTGTTTCTGGTCCAGCAAAGTTTGGAATTTGCTAGTGGTGATACTGATGGGTGGGTTGAGAGTTGACTCCGGTGCGGTGATGGAGAACAGCTAGGAGGAAAAAGGGGGGTATTTTATATGGAGAAGGGGAGACTGAAGCAACAGTGAATCCAGGAGAGGCCATGGCGTTAGGCTGACGATGACCTGAGGTTGTAGGCTTACTCCGTTGAGTGCGAATGAGTGAATGTGCCTGCACGTAGTGATGCACACTGCTCAGTTCGGACGTGGAAGGCGGACAACACCATCTTCAACCGCCTGTTGTTCTTTCACCAAGGAAACGAGACGGATGTTCTCGCGGCGTAGAAAGTGAATGCTGTGGCGCTGACGATGCTTATGGTGGATGAGTACCTAGGTAGATTTCGCGTATATATGAGAAGCTGAGAGATGAGCTTCAGTCAAAGGCTGAGACGTGGTCTTAAGGCGAAGGTTAGCTTGACTTACGATCACGCAATGTGATATTCTGTTGCCCAGCAAGCATGTTTTTTGCTACTGATGGTCTTTGTGATCAAATGTTCCGGATGTTTTGTTAGGGTTGGCATAACGGTGCCTTTGTCGACTGTTTGCTGTGCCAAATCTTCCATTGACAGTATATTTTCGACCCCGACTTCATAGCTTTACTGCTTCTGATATCCGTTCGATGCGCGCGGTAGCCCTGTGGCAGTCGCGGTGTTGAGAGGATGAATGGTTGATGGGGCGGGATGCTGGGCGTGCTTGCGGTTTGCGTGGGGCTGGAGGTTGGCGAGGCCGGCTGGGCAGAACATCAGGCTGCGCGCGCTGTTGCGGCGGCGTCGCCTGGTGGCCTCGCCAAACTGTGCCGCAAAAAGTGGTCACTTACCAACACCAAGGGCTCGGGTGATGCGATGTCCCATGTCGCATCGAAAGTGGGTATCGTGTTCTTGATCTGCGAGGATGATCGACGCGAATGCGAGACGTCTGATCGAGAGTCGCGAGGCTGTCAGGCTGTAAGGTCATCGCATTCCAAGGTTGTTCGTCAAGTCTCACTCGCAACGATGCACAGTTCTTTGAAGAGTTGATTTCTTTGATTCAAGTTTCGTTTTTTATTAAGTTTAGAAGGCTAAAGAAGCTTGCTTCTGTTCCAGCATCCGATTCAACTGCTCCCAGGTCAACTGAGAGAGTGCTTCTTCCAAGAACTTGCTTGAAGTGTAGGAGATGAACCTACAGTCTCCGTGCATCCAGTATCCCAAGTCGAAAGAAAGGTCAGCGATAGCGCAAAGGTGCGTCAGGAAGTGTTTGCTCCGCAAGCAGAGGACCACCTCCCGAGAGGCAGAGACGCCACGGGCGTGCTCATGTCTCGACCCCGCGCAGTCGCTTTCCCTAGTTTTTCCGACCCAGTCCTCCTTCGCAACAGAGACGAGCTATCACAGCGGCATCGCAGATGCATGTATAACTTTTGTCGCCGCCTCTCGGCAGATCCAGCTGACACTCAATGCCAGGCCAAGTAAGCGTAATTCGTGAACGTGAATCGCGTCAGATCGTAAAGAGTCATGGCATGCCACAGGCTCAACGAAGAGATAGCGCATCCGTCCAGGAGTTGTAAAACGACATTAACAAACAGGAAAAAAGCACAACAAAAATCCCAAAACCGAGTGTGCCTGACCTCGTGAGCCGTGAGGCTGTTGTTTAACCGTCTTCCGTTTGAAATGCCCGACATGCATGCCTCCCAGAGATGCTGTATTCAAGTAAATGAAAAGACCTGGTCCGGCCGTTGTGGTAGACAAAAAAGGAAATCGCTCGCTAAAAACAAAACGGATAACGTGAGAGCAGGTATCAAAAAGAAAATGTACGGAGAAGGAGAGGGGAAATGACGCTCGCTAAAAGGAATCAATGATAAAACGCCGTCCCATGCCGGTTGGGTAGTGATGTTTGCACATCATGTCGTGAATATCGCATTCGTCTCGTGTCGGGCGTCGCAAGGTTGGTGCGCTGGGCAACCTGCGCGGTAAAGGGAAGTGCAAGGGGGACTGGCCAGGTCCACGCTTCCCAGCATGGACAGAGAACAGGTGCATACACCACAGTCGAGTTTGTCATTCAGCTTATGTGAATGCTGCGTACTGTGGTGCGAATCCTGTGTCCCATCCGAAACCGCCGAAACCTCCGTGAACGGCGCTTGACCCGCACTGCTGGGCTAGCACGCTCGGCAGAGGAAGGGCTGGTATCGGTGCCGACGCTGGGGGCGGGCTGTAGTACGAACTTGACGTGTATGGGCTGGTGCTTGGCGCATATGGGCTGGTGCACGGTGCGTACGGGCTCGTCGAGTTGTATGGCTGGCTGTAGGAGGGCGTCGGTGACGGAAGCTGGATCGCTTCGAAGCCCATGTTGCCCATGGTGCTCCAGAATGTTGGTCCAGTTTCACCGCAGGTAGCGATGGTCGGGCTGGGCGTCGATGGGACCACTCTCCAAGTGTCGACCGGGGCTGAGTGCGACTGGTACTGCTGTGTTGGCACCCACCAGTTGGCTGAGCCGGGCGAGCTTGGGAGAAGCGGTGCTGGGCGGACAACGTCGACGATCCTGGGAGGAGGAGGAAGGAGCGGGAGGAACAGGCCCATGATGGCGCTCTTGACGTCCTCACCTCGTCCCTCGAGTAGCTCTCCCGCACCATCCTCCTCGAGTCCTTCCAGAGCCTTGACACCAGTTCGGAAGACGTAGCGGTTGACAGCCTGGACAAATCCATCTTGGAGCTTCTTCAGCTGTTGCTCCTTCTCGGCCCATTCCCAGGTGCTGGCGGATACATCGACGGAGTAAATGTCCTTGTGGTACTCGATAAGCGCTTCGATGGTCTCCGGTGTAAGCTTGAATGCGACCTCATGTTGTGAAACCATGTCGACGTGTACGACGTAGGCCTCGATGTGGATGAGCTGGTAGTTGAAGAGCGCTTCTACCAGCGGGTTGTTGTCCTTGCGCAGTTCCGAGTCCGGGGCCTTTGGTACCATGATTGAGCACAGCGACCACATCGCGTTGGGTCCGGAAAGGGTTTCTGTCAGACACCTCGTGTGTTGCTGGACGCTGTTCAACGGACGCTTGACGCGGTTGACCCTCTTGAGAGTTTGTGTTAACCATGGCTCGACCTTGGAGGCTAGTACGACGTTGACGTTTGATCGGGGCGCAAAGGCCGCAGCCGAGGCGGGTAGTAACGAGATCGGCATGTTGAGTGTGTGGTATGTGCGAGACGTTTGCGATATTAGGATGGGACGATTTATCAAAGATTCAAAGAAAAGAACAAAAGAGAGGTTGTAAGAAAATGTCTCTGGCGGGTATAATTTTTCGAGAGGCGCCTTGGATTGAGGAGGAGAGACAGGGAGGGGCGGGCGAATGAGGATGGGGGAAGGCGAGGTGGGAGGAGGGTGAAGAAGGCTAGTGGTGGTGGTGGGTGGGATCTCTTAAGAGCTTACAAGCGACGATCATGGGTCGGCGTGGCCACACTTGTCGGCAAGGATTTCATGCACACTGCCCCGTTTAGCTGCACTGCGCATCTAGCTTGTTTAATCGTGCATACGGCCAGA